AATTAGAACTGAGAAGTGCTATAAAAACGGGGGAAGTGTGGCATGGCTATATTTCCTAACATGTGGGATAAAATGCAGACCTTTCATGAAACTAGGCTGTGTTTCTATCCTTGGATCCCTTGAGATATCTCTGAATCTTTAAATTCCCCTTCTTGCATATTGTGGTAGAGTTTCCAAATATGGCTGCTGTTAATGCCTTCCTCCCCTGCACATGCATGTCAGTCTTCCCAAAGGAGATGAGATCTATTTCCTCTACCCAACAGAATGTGGTGGAAGTGATGCCCTTCCAGTTCCAGACCTAGCTGTTAAGAGACCTTTGCTCCCTTGGGATCCAACTGCCATATAAAGGAAATCAGATCAGGCTACTGAGTAAGGAAGATCACATGGAGGGCTGGCCCGGTGGTGCACTGCTACAGTGCGCCGCTTGGGAGTGTGGCGGCGCTCCCGCCGAGGGTTCGGATCCCACATACAGACCGGTTCCCACTCACTGGCTGAGCGAGGTGCGGGCGCAGCGCTGAGGGTTGCGATCCCGTTGCCGGTCCCGGTCCGGTACGGGCGCGACACTGAGGGTTGCGGTCCGTTGCCGGACACGAAAAAAGACAAAAAGGAAAAAAAAAAGGAAGATCACATGGAGAGAGAGGGGCCACATGGACAGCACCAAGGCACAGACATGGGAGTGAAGCCTTCTTGGACCTTCCAGCCCCGCCCAGCCACCAGCTGAATGGGGTTGAGTGAATAATCCCAGTCAATGCCCCATGGAGCAGAAAACCCACCCATCAGAGCCCTGCCTGGATTCTTAACCCCAGAACAATGAAAAACAATACATTGTTGTTGCTTTAAGGCACTAAGTTTTGCGTGGTTTGTTGCATAGAATCAACTTATCAGGAGTTGGTTTCCTTTCTTGCAGACAAAGTACCCTAAATAGTATAAAAAGTCTGTAGTACTCAGGCATGCAAAATAAACTCTGAGATCCCACTTAGTGCTTATATAAGGAATGTGGGGGCAAAATGAGACTGTTTAATGAGTTTCTCTTCTAGCCATCATCTCTCCCTCCTGGGATTCTGAAGAGAGCAGAGCTGGGTTGTGGGGTGAGCAAAGGTTTGGACTCTCCTGAGCAGAAGCAAAGGGGTTCTAGGAAGAAAAGCAGCTCTGGCCTGCTGCATGGCCTGGAGTTCCCCAGAGAGGCCAAATCTAGTGAAACTGCTCCAGGGAGGCAGAGCCTCCTGGGAAGCCTGAGAGTATTTCTTTCCTAGAACTCTCAGAGCCACAGCAACATGGAGACCAGCTCTGGAAGCTTTGGAGGTACAGACAGGTTAATAAGGGCTAGAAAGAATCACTGGGCTAGCACAGAAGGGGTTCCAACTTACATCTCATGAAATGTCCCCTCCAGATGTCAGCTATTAAAATTTCCAGTTTCTACAGGGTCTAGGAATTTCAGGACAGGCCTTCAGAAAAGACACATCATAGTATTTAAAGCATAATTTTAAGAGTCAGCCAGACAGGGGGGTATACGTTGCCTCTATGTCACCTTGGGCAAGTGACCTAAGCTCTGTAAACCTCAGTTTCCTGACCTGAAAAATGGGGATGTTATATAATAGCACCTACTTAATAGGGTTGACAGAAGCAATTAATGAGCAATTCATATGAAGTTTTTAGATATAGGGCTTGGGACATAGTAAGTGCTCAATAAATGGTACATACCTATTATGATGATTACTTGTCGTGTTTACTAACAATGATTTCATGCCTCTCCCAGACTACTTTCACTCAGGTAATAGAAGGAAAATTCAGCATCACAGAGCTGGTGTCTGAACCCAGAAGGGGACACAGACACATCTGCATAGTTAGAAAGTGCTCATTTGCTCTGAGAGCTGCAGCCAACAACACAGTATGAGGTCTTCCACCAGACACCCCCAAATACTATAGAGCCTGAGCAAGAAGAATCCTGTGAATCAGACTGACTTCTTTTATAGGTGGGGAAGCTGAGAGCCTCTGGTTCTGCAGGGGGAGCCCCACAAGGACCCCCATTTTCAGATTTGCTCCACATCTGACTCAGCTTTCATCTGACTCTACTCTGATCTCCTCCCAGGACAGTGTGGGTGAAACAGGAATCAGGGCAGATTTCAGCTTATAAAACACAAATAGCATTGGGTTTGCCTCTGGTGATGCTACCATCAAGGGCTGGCTGCTGGAAAGATGCGGCAAAACAGCCACAGCCAGAATCTTCCGGGACTGTCCTTTCCACTCTAGAAAACCAGGCAGAAAACACACCATTTCAGCAATAGGACATTCTGTCACCAAGGACTCAACCCAAGTGTCCCTGGAAACCTCTCAAATCTCCTTCAGGGGATGCCAGGGACTGTTAGAGTTCCAGGGTTTGCCAAACAGGAGTCTCTGGGCATAATTCTAGAACAGAGGCTTCAGTTAGTATCAGAAATGAGCTTCCTCATTGTTTTGTTTTTTAATTCACTGTTAAATAATGAACACCATTTATTGAACATGCTATGTACAAGAATCTTTTGCATGCTAATTAAACACTGAGAAGTATGTGCTAATGTTATTCCCATTTTGCAGATGAGGAAACTGAGGCACAGAGAGGTAAAGCAGCTTACCTCAGGTCACACAGGGAGTAAGTGGCTGGAATTTGAACTCAGGTCTTTATGACTTTGGGACCCCAGCTCTTAACCATTATGCTCTGCTCCCAAGTTGGTAGGGGAAATGTGGTAGAACATGTAGGACAAGGCAGAAACTCCCTCTACCCTGTTCTAGAACATTCAAGCTGGGATCTGCTTGGTCCTCAAGGACCCCCATAGCTTTCTCCCCCGAGGTAGCCCAGCAGCCATGTTTGTACAACATGGCCTGGCACCCCTGGTCACAGCTGATTGGACGAGGAATAGCACCTGATATAAGCCAGCCAATCTGAGTACTTTCCCTGGGAAAGCAGACCCTGGACAAGATTCTAAACTCCCCAGCCTCTTGGCCACAGACCATGTTGGAAGAAACTGGGGGCAGCAGCTTCTGCCATGTTTACTCGTTTGTTCAACAAATATTTTGCTATGCACCTACTTTGTGGTGGGCTATGACAGCAGTAAAAAAAAACAGGCAAAAATGCCTATCCTCAAGAATCTTCTAATCTAATGGAGAGAGACATACAGTAATCAAATTAAATACGTAAAATATAAAATATGTTAGCTCGTGGTGTTATACAGAAAAAAGGTTAAGAGGAGCTCTTCTAATCTCGTCCAGGGTCCAAATTCCCAGGGGATGTACTGATTGGCTGGCTTATGTCAGGTAATATACCTCTTCCAATCAGCTGTGGCCAGGAGTGCCAGGCCACATTTTAAGCATTTACCATTCATATTCCTCCTTTCTGCAAGGCTGAGGCCCATTGTGCGAGGTGGACACACACACACACACACAAATACCTCCAGCCTGGGAACTCCCTATTCCTGATATATCTTTTATAAAGCAAAATAACAATCCAACCCTATAAGGCAAGCCCCTCAGACCCATCCCTTTGGCAACTGCCCAAGGAATCTAACAGAGTATCGAGTGCAAAACTGACACAGACTATGGAGGGAGTTTGTCATTTGTCAACAGCATCTCTGATCTCCACTGCCTGTCCTGAGTGAAATTATCTGCAGAAGCTCAAATCAAAGGCAGACCCTTCCTACTTCTCCAGGACATCATTTTCCATCCAAGAACCTCATTAACCTCCAGCTGAGTGTGCAGGTAGGGGGATAATCAGGCACTCAGCGGCTACATCAGTTGTAAGCAGTTGGAAACAGCTGACCCTGGCAGAAGGGCCTGGGTAGGGATTGGGGGTAGGGTGGCATGTCAGGATCCATCCCTCTCCATTCCCTATTTGAGATGCAGGTCTTGGGGGATCACTCCACTGTCCTCTCTGCATCCTGACAGCCAAAGTTTCCACCTATGCTAACGGACCCCCCCCCCACAAACACACACACATATACCCCCTCCTCTTTTCTCAGTCACTTCTTCCATCCTGATGATTGCCCACATTTCCCCACTCCCCCCTTCTCAAGCGCACCCACATACCACTCCCTTGCTGTCCAGCACTGTCCTTGCTCATGATTTTGCCACTCTCTCACACATCAGACATCCTTCCGATAAGCCTGGCTTCTCTCCCACACATGTTTTCATTATCCCTGCCCTCCAAATGCCACTTTCCCTTCCTTCCTGCCACTTCATAAACATGTAGTGTTACCAGGGCCTGGGCCAGAAACTGGGCATACCTCATCTCTCTTAATTCTTACAAGAATCATGTGGGATAATTATTCCCCCCATTCCGCCAGTAAGCAAATGGGGCCTCAGAGAGGTGAAGCCATGTGCCCAAGACCCACAGCAGGCAGTGAGGAGCTGGGGTGGAACCCGAGATTCCTTGAGTCCAGACCCACGAGATTAACCTCTGCTGCTGCACTCACATGCTGTCTGCCTCTTGCAGGATTGATTTCTCCAATTCTGTTATATAAATCATTTCAAATGTGCTCTCCCTTTTACATTCATTCTCTGTCATCCTAACCTCGCCCTCAGCTGATGTTCTGGTATCGACAAGGTCAATGTCTCTAGAACATACCTCTAGGTAGCTGTAACTGGGTAATACACCCAATGCTCACACCCATCCCTGCCGTTGCAGCCTCCAATGACAATCTCCCATTTCCCTATCAGAAGAACCCTCCCCTTCCCCTTCTGCAATGTACCCCCAGAGCCTGGGCCAGGAACTGGGCGTGCTTCATCTCTCTCAATTCTTACAAGAATCCTGTGGGATAAGCAGCCTCCTGAGCCCACTCACTCCTCAATTCCCTTGTCTCTTCTCCCAGCTCCTCTCACCTCATGAAACAAGGATTCCGGGTTTGGATGGGTGACCTGGCAAGTCACAAATGATGAAGCCCAGAGGCAGGCCTGCCCCACCCCACATGCCTGCAGCACAGCCTCCTGCCTCGCTGGCTCTCAGATGGATGGGAAGTGTCAGGCCTCACCCAATTCGCTCTTGCTCCATCTCTTCCATTTTCTCAGCTCGGGCGATCACCCTGTTGATGATTTCCTTCTCCTCATCTGTCAGTTCTTCCTGCTTCCTCTGTCTGTCAGGCTGACCACTGGGGTGGACAGACCAGCCAGCCTGAAGCCTGAAAGGTAATTTGGGAAGACATGAGGCTAGACAGAAAATCCAGCAGGGAGGGTAAAGGAGTGGTTAGACTTGTAGACCCTGGAGTCTGGTAAACCTCAGTACAAATTCCTACTGGAAAACTCACTGGCTGGGAGGCTCTGGGCAAAAGAATCATATTTCAGGGTGGAAATCAACATGTCAAAGGGATATCTGCACTCCCATGTTTATTTCAGCCCTATTCAAAATAGCCGAGATATGGAACCAATCTAAGTGTCCATCAACAGATGACTGGATAAAGAAAATGTGGTATATATAAGCCATGGAATACTGTTCAGCCATAAAAAAGAACAAAATCCTGCCATTTGTGGCAACATGAATGAGCTTAAAGAAAATTACGTTAAGTGAAATTAGCCAGACACAGGAAGAGAAATGCCACATGTTCCCATTCATATGCAGAAGCTAAAAAAAATGATCTCACAGAAGTAGAGAGTTGAATAATGGTTACTAAAGACTGGAAAAGGTAGCAGGGGAGGGGGAATAGGGAGAGTGTGGTCAATGGCTACAAAACTGTCCCTAGATAGGAAGAATAAATTCCAGTGTTCTATAGCACTGTAGGGAGAGTACAGGTAACAACAACTTAAAGTATAATTTCAAATAGCTGGTAGAAAGGATTTTGAGTGTTCCCAACACAAAGAAATGACAAATGTTTGAGGTGGTGCATGTGCTAATTACCCTGATTTGATCAGTGCACATTGTATGCATATACCCAAATATCACATTGTACCCCATAAATATGTACAATTATTATGTGTCAATTAAGAAAAAATAAATTTAATAAAATGAAAAAAAAATTTTAGAAAAGAGGATCCTATCTCTCAGAGCCTCAGTCTGCTCATCTGTACAATGGGACACACATACTTCCCTCATAGGGTTTTGAAGAGTCTGCTTTTCTTAAGTGCTTAGCACACAATAGACACTCTGTAAGTGGCATTTACAGAAAGCTCATGGAAACCTGCAGGGTCGTGGTGTTCTCAGAAAACAATTCCAGAACACTAGACTTCTACAGCTGGTGTGGACACAATTATGGGCGGGTGGTCTGAAGCCCTGAGCCCCAGTTGACCCCAGCATCTGCCTGGCAAAAGACATTTTGCTTGGGCCACAGGTTTTTTTTATTTTACATTTAAAAAAATATTCTAATTGACAAATTATAATTATATATACTTATGGGGTACAGCGATATTTTGATATACGCATGTGTTATATAATAATTGGGTTAGGGTAGTTAATGTAACCATCTCTTCATGCATTTATCATTTCTTTGTGGCAAAAACATTCAGAAGCCTCTTCTCTAATCTATTATAAAATATACAAAACTTAACTATTCCCTGTAGTCACCCTACTGTGCAATAGAACTCCAGAACTTATTCCTCCTATCCAATTATAATTTTATACCAGTTGGCCACCTCTTCTGTTTTCTCTTTCTCCCCCTCCCCTCCCCAGTCTTTGGTAACCACTGTTCTATTCTTTGGGCCACAGCTTTTTTTAAAATATAGATTTAAATTAGTTGCCAACTAAGTTTATAAGAAACTCCTGATTTCATGCAAATGTCCAGATTTCCAGCCTCAAAAGCTCCCATAACCTTTTCAGTTCCATCCTGTGCTTTCCTTGCCTTTACTTTTTAAAGCAAACACTGACATAGTGCCTACTATGTGCCCACACTACCTCATTTAGTCCTCACACCGCATCCTCTGTGCACCTGCATTATCTCATTGAATCCTCACATTAGCCCTACAAGGCAGGGGCTGTCCTTATTTCCTGGAGAGGAGTCTGAGGCATGGAGAAATCAGACCACTTGCCCAAAGTCACACAGAGGCAGGATTCAGACCCAGGCAGCCTGCACATTTAGACTCCACCATAAGAAGAAAGCGCCCGTAGCCCTGGCGAGGGTGCAGAGGATCAGAGGCTGCAGCGTGCGTAGTTCATACTGTGGTCTACAGCAGATTAGGATCCTCTCCACTAATCCCATGGTTCATGCCCCAGGGTCCATGCCCCAGGGATCTGAGAGGCATCATCCATGTGGAAGGCAGGAGCAAACACCACTAGACATTCTTGTCCCCATTAAGGAAGAAATCAGTAACTCCGAATCCCCAGGAGCTGGCACCCCATTAGCCTCCAGCCTTGGCTACCTCCACTGCTCTAAACATGTCAGCAGGCATGAAATTGCCTTTTGACACTCGAAACTGGAAATTAAAAGTCCATCTTCCTCCCTCCTCTGCCATCCTTCCACCTTAGCTGGTTTATTCTGAAGAGCAGAGAAGGAAGAGTTTGAAAGGAAAGCAGATGTCTTGGGGCAAGTCCTGTTAAGAGAAAGGGAAGGAGGATGTGGCCTGGGAAAATTCGGGTGGAAACACACCTTGCCTTCCCAGGTGTAGTCTTGGAGCAGGTGCCTCTGAGATAAACAAATGCTAACTATGCTCATTGTTCCCCTCCCCCCTGTTCCAAATCCTCCAGTGGCATCTCACTGACATAGAATAAAACCCATAACTAGGTAGAAGTGATTATTGCACAACACTGTGAATAATCAAAAATTTTATGGTATGGGAATTCTACCTTAATAAAAATAAAACCCAGTCTTCTTGCCCATTCTGCCAAGTCCTGCCTGGTCTGTCCTTTACCTGCCTCTCTGTCCTCATCACCCCTTGCTTCCCCTGGCTCCAGCCACACTGATCTCTCTGCTCAATCTTGAACACCCAAATCTTGTTTTTGCCTCAGGGACTTTTCACTTGCTGATCTGCCTGCCAGGAACACTTCTCTCCCCAGATCTCCCCATGGGTAGCTCCTTCTCTCATTCCCGTCTCAGAGAGGACTTCTTTGACCTCTCATTATACCAGTTCACTTTCTCCAGTGCACCCATCTCTAGCTGAATTTATTTTTAAAATTTTTTTCTTGTTACCTGTTTATTGCCCCTCTCCTCCCACCAGAATATAGATTACAGGACAGCAGGAACCTTGTCTGTCTCTGTTTACTGTTGTGTCCATGGCACTTAGATCAATATCTGAGAGTAATACCACTTAAAAAGAGTTTTTGAATAAGACCTGGTCCCTTATGGCTGATATGGAGGTTAAATGTCTACATACACGTGTGACACACAGAGAGGCTGAAGCAATGGAAGTTATTTAGTCTAGGGATCAGGGAGAGCTCCTTAAGGAAGTGACAAGGATTCACTGTGATCCTGGCAAAGCTGAAGCTTTAGGACCCTTTGTATAGCCACCTTCCAAGGCCCTGGGCCAGGCCCTAGTAAGGGTCATGTGATTAGAAACATTTGCAAAAGCAAGACATTTTTGTCTTCTTGAACTTGAAGAGGGCCCCCTAAGTTATATAAGCTTCAGGTCCCACAAAACTATGGCTGGCACCTGCTGAGACCTCATAGATAAGCTGGAGGGGTGAGGGGAAGGTATGGGAAGAGCTTGGGTCTGGCAAAGGCCCGGAGTTGAGAGAGTGGGAAGCATGCCTAAAGGGAGAAAGACCAGTCTGGTAGCCAGCCTACTGGGTGGTCCCCAGGGATCCCTGCCCCCTGGTATTCACATGCTCCTTTGTATAGTCTCCTCCGACACTCACACTAGGCTGGTCCCTCGTTATCAACTAAATGCAGTAGAAGTGACACTGTGTGGCTTCCAAGTCCAGGTCATAGAAGACATTATAACATTTACCTTGGGCTCTTGGATCACTTGCTCTGGGGGAAACCAGCTGCCATGTCATGGGGGTGCTCACACATCCCTGTGGAGAGGCCTATGTGGAGAGAACTGAGGCCCCCAGCCAACAGCCAGCACCAATCTGCTGGCTATGTGAGTGGATCTTTTATTCCCTATCAAGCCTTCAGATAACTGCCACCCCAGGTGACACATGACTGCCACTGCATGAGTAACACTGTGTCAGAGCTATCCAGCCAAGCCACTCTCAAATTCCAGTCACAGAAACCACAAGAGGTAAGAAATAGTTTCTGTTGTTTTAAGCCACTAAAACATCACATAACTGGAAAAACCAGTCCAGCTAGAGGATAGAGACCAGTGGGTGTACTGTCCCATCCATAGTGTCTGTATTCATCTTCTATTGCTGCATAACAAATTCTTACAAAGGTTGGGGCTTAAAATGACACATGTTTATTACCTCACAGTTTCCATGGGTCAGGAGTTTGGGCATGGATTAACTGGGTCTTCTGCTCAGAGTTTCACAAGGCTGCAGTTGAATGTGGAATGGGCTGTGTTCTCATCTGGAGGCTTGATAGGGGAAGAACCAACATCCAAGCAGATATTGGTAGAATTCAGCTACTTGCAGCTGTATGACTAAGGGCCCCAGGGTTTTGTTGGCTGTTGGTAAGAGGCAACCCTCTGGTCCCAGAGGCTGCCTGCAATTCCTAACCATATGCTCTTCTCCAATGTCATCCTGTGAGCCACTTCCTTCATCAAGTCTGCAAGGAGAATCTCTAGCTTCTGTCAACTGACAGTCTCATATAACATGATGTAATCATACGAATGACATCCCATCCCCTTGGCTGTATTCTATAGGTTAGAAGCAAAGCACAGGTCCTGCCTACATTCAAGGGGAGGGGATTACACAGAGGCAGGAACACCAGGAGGTAGGAATCATAGGGGGCCACCCTGAAGTCTGTCTGCCACGGCCTCCCTGGCAGGTGTTCTTTTAGACTTGCTTGAATGCTCTTTGTGGTGGAAGTCTCACTCCCATGTGGAGTCTGTGCCATTCTGTTGGAAAGATCTTCCATATGGTGTGCCAATAACCCCTCATCCTGCTGTTTCTTTTCATTACCTTTAAAGGATACAGTGGACTCCTGTATAATGAAGACCACCTACCTTTCCCAAAGAGCCCTATTCATAACGTAATTCAGACCTGTCCCCAGGTTCCTTTGGTTTTCCCTGGAGAAGGATGTTTCAACTGCCCTGTTCTTCTTTCCTTTGTCCCCACTTCTCTCCCTTGATGGCTATTCTGATGCCCTTCCATTTA